TCGAAGTAGGCCATGCAGGATCCAGCACCTTAACTTCCATGCTACCTGCTAGTCCTATATCATACCTTTTAAAGTATAATCTTTTTTTTTTTTTTTTTTTATGAGAGAGGAAGAAGGGAAAGGTATTTATGACAGGTCCTCACCTTTACAATCTTCCAACCCAGCCTCCCAGTTTTGAAGTCCACAGGTGCTGCCCCCCAGTCTCCTGCGTGGCCCCAGTTTCATGCACCTGTGCCACTGCAGCTGGGACATGTGATAATCGCTTACCTACAGTCAGCCCTCCATATCCCAGGCACTCTCATGGAGTCAACCAACTGCAGGGTGAAAATATTCAGAAAAAAATAATAACGATACGACAATTTTAAAAACTACGACAAAAAGATGCTCCAACTATGCAGGCACCTCCACGCTGCATTAGGCAGTACAAGTAATCTAAAGAGGACATGAAGTAGACAGGGGCCTATGCGAATACTGGGCCGTTCTGGAAAGAATCCAAGTCTTCTATAGGAAGGATTTTGGTATTCCCGGGGATACCAAGGGAAGACTTGGTATACCAAAAAAAAAAGAGTTTAGTTACCAAAAAAAAAAGTGTAGTTCAACTGAAGAAGGCAAGTTTGAAATGCAGACTTGAAAGTACTGAAAAGAAGAAGGACGTGGAGTCTGCTCTCTGCGTCTAGGTTTGGGGCCTGCCCGGTTAACGCTGAGATGCCCCAGAGGCACAGCGGCCAAGGGACAGGGCAGCTCTAGCCCAGCGTCAGTGTCCCTGGGACCCGAGGGTGTGGCGGGAACTTACTAGAGATGCAGAAATAGAAGCTGCGAGAAAATGGTACCCTGACAACGCGCCATGCCCAAACTGAAGCTTCCTTCCAGAGCAGTGTCAGGATGAAAATTTGGCCACCGAGTGTAAAATGAATATAATAGAAGTCGGAGCCATGTCTGCACCCAAGGCTGTCTGGTGTGAAAAGGGGAGAGCGAAACTAGACAAGCTGACCTCCTGAAACAGAGATATTAACCATGAGGCCAGGGCATGGTGCAGCAGAAACGCAACTGGACCCACAGGGTGAAGGCCCTGCTTCATGTCCCCAGATGTCCCTCAGGATGCCAGGTGTGTGAGCATGTGCCCATGAGCCAATGCTGCCTGAGACCCGGGGCAGCTTGTGGTGTGAGGATACTTGTGAGGGTGGCTGGCTCTCTCTCTCTCTCAGGAAGATTAACTTTTTGAAAAGTTTGTTCTGGGACTAGCAGTTAGCATAATGACTATGTTGCTGGACTCCCATGTAGTTGACCACGGTTTGAGTCCCAGACCCAGTGGCTTAAACTCACGCTGGGCGCGTGTGTGTGCAGGCCCAAGATGCCAGAGGAGAATGGAAGAGAAAGGATAGCGGTGTGGCCATCCCCGGGGGGAGGAGTGATTTCTCACTTTCCCTCTCAATGTCTCTGCCTCTCTCTCCGGCGAACGCACACACCCAAAGGCAAAAACCTCAAAAACAAAGTTTATTTTAAAAATGTAAAAGAAACATTAACAACAATATTAGCACTTCTTATTGAGAATTTTCTTTATGTTTGGCCCTGTAATAAGTCCTCTTTATTACTAACTCACTCAATCCACACAGTCTTACCCTATCAATCAGGTGCTTCACTTCATTGTTCCCATTTTATTTTTTTACTTTTTGTTGAAGGATGATTTATTTAATTTTATTTATTCATTCTTTTTCTTTTTAATTTGACCAGAGAGCAAGACAGAGAGAGGAAGCAAGAAAGCAAGCCACCAGGTCCAAGATTCAAACCATGGTCAGTCACATGAGAGTGTCCAGTGCCTTAATCACCATGCCATCTGCTGGTCTTCCTCATTGTTCCATTTAAACATAAGGAAATTAAGGGTCAGAGAGGTTCAGTAACTTGTCCAAACATCCAGAGCTAATAAAGAAAGGTAACATTCCAACCCAGGCCGTCCGATTCCAGAATTCATGCGTTTAGCTGTCAGAATGACGCCTTTCTTTGAGGGTCCTCGAAACACCCACTTAAGGTCGGCCATGGGAGCAACTGGATCCCGAGAGGAGAATGGAGAAGGGATTGCAGCCGGGCCATAGAAGTAAAGACACATCCCAAAATGCCAGACCCACAATGGAAGGTCTCAGGTTCACATCCCAAGGCTTCTCTGGGCATGGCAGGCCGTGAAAGCGCCTGAGATCTGGCTGAGGCCAGGAGTGGATCATGGCATGCAGACCTGTTGGGAGTGCCTCCCTCTCTCACATAAGAAATAAATATACTTTTTAAAGAAAAGTAAAAACAAAACAAAACGATATCTAATCAAATACAATGGAATGAGAAGACTTTGAAACTTTGGTCTACTGTCCATAAGGGGGTCTTCAAAACATTCACGGAAAATGCATATAATGAAAAAACGACGTGTGGATTTTTTTTCTTTTTTTTGCACCAAAATTAACTCATGGGCTGGCCCCATGGCCTGATGGTTGAGTATGTCAGATGGCACATGCTAACTACAGTTTGAATCCTACCCTGGTGGCTTGAAAAACACACCAAATGCGTGTGCATGTGTGCTCTGAATCCAAACAGGATGGAGAAGCGGAGGACAGGGATGTGAGGTGACCACACCTCCCAAAGGGGGTGTGTGCTCACTCTCGCTCTCTCTCCCCTCTCTCTAGATGGTGCATGCACATACCCTCTGGCTACACAGTCCAATAAACTCATTCTTTCATTCCATTTTCCATGAACTGTTTGGATTTCTCTGTTATGGGCGTACCCAAAGAGAGGTGCTACTCTGGGTTTGTGTAGTAAGGGTAGATTTTTTCTTTTATAGTCAGCAAGAAAAATAAAAACTGGTTTTGTGGAAGGCCACATATTAGACGTTGCACATGAACAACTGTTCGTCCATTTTGTTCCCTTACCCTAACAGGGCTGTCTGCTTCTGTAAACCTGCTTGCTCTGCCATGAGGAAACAGCTCATGCTAGCCGTACAGAAAACTGCATCCGGGACAAGATCCTGGACCTGCTAACTAGCCCGAAACCCTTTTGCTTAGCAATGTAACTGCTTGCATGGAAACCCCACTCCCCTCAGAAATAATTAACCTGCTTGATTCAGCTTCTGGGACTGCTTACATAGAAACCCCTGGTAACTGACCCCCGATAAAAAGACTACTCCACCTTCAGGCGGGGCTACAGTTCTGACTCTCCGCCCCGAGCCTCAGCTGGCCAGCTAATAAAGACTCCCTTTAAACTTAATCTGGCTTTGGTGGCCATTCATTTGGTGGCACTTTACAACAGCTTGACAAAGGGTGACTCACAAACACAGCTTGGTTGATTTTTTTTAGATGAAATGTTTTCCATCAATAATGGGAAAAATACAGGTATTTTATGAAGCCTACGCTTCCAGCAATGTCAAAGTACTCTCTCTACTCCTGCTGTAGAGCTGGCAGTGCATGAGGCGGCGCTCTTGCAAAAGCCCCTCCTTGAAAATGGGGGGCTGGCCAGAGTGATAAGGATTCAGGGCCAAGAGAGTCGGCCCAGCAGGGGGAGGGGATACAAGGAGACAGCACTGCCTAGAAAGTGGGCACTGAGCCAAATTCCTGCCGAGGGAACACTGAGTCTGGACCTTCCGAAGGGCTGAAGTCAGGTCAGCAGGTGGCGTGGAAGTCAAGGTGCTGGGTCCCACATGTCCATTCGAGTCCCAGACCCAGTGGCTTGGAAATCTCACTGACATCTGTGTATGCGTGTCCAAGACTCAGAGAAGAGAATGGAGAAGGATTGCGGTGTGGCCATCCCCCAGGAAATTATTTCTCTCTCTCTTTCTCTCTCTCTCTCTCTCTCTCTCTTTCTGGTGAGTGCACATGCCCTATAGCAAACAAATGCATAAATAAATAAAAAATAGAAAGGGCCCACGTCCACGTCTGAGGCAACCCCTAGCTACTGGCAGAAGCAAAAGCAATTTGCCCCATAGGCAAGTCCATCCAATTCCCAATTGCAACCCCGGGACTAAGAGTCAACCGTATGCTCACAGTCAGAGTTCACAAACACCGGAAGTAAGTCACAGCGGTCACCAGAAACAGCACACTACGCGGACCCTGCAGAATCGCAGACACTGGACTTGGCAGCTACAGAACACAGGACAGCTACCTCCGCGGAACTTAGGGAAATACAGGGTGCAGGGCAAGGTCACCAGGAGAGGGAGTTAGGAATACACAGGTAACTCTGAGGGTCAGACGGTGGCAAAGCAGTGACATGAACGACCCAGGCTGAGCAGTGCAGGAAGTCCCAGGTGTCCCCTCAAGACCCTCCCGGGGTACTGGGCAGGCACATGCCCATGACCCAGCTGGCTGCCACTGGGGATGGAGCGTGGTGTCGAGACCCCATTGGGGGGGCTGTCTCTCTGCCTTTCGTGTTCACTGAATTAAAAAAAAAAAAAAAAGAAAAGAAAAAACAGGATTTGGAAGAAAAACTGTGAATCCTTTATAAATAACATACAGGGACCAGTAGATGGCATAGTGATTATGTCTCTGGACTCCTACATGGCTGATCGCAGTTCGAGTCCCAGACCCGGTGGCTTGAAATTCATGCCAGGCTGACCGCAGTTCGAGTCCGAGACCCGGTGGCTTAAAATTCATGCTAGGCACGTGTGCGTGCGTGCCCAAGATACCGGGAGGAGAATGGAGGAGAAGGGATCGAGACGTGGCCATTCCCCCAGGGTGAGGGGTGATTTCTCACCTTCTCTCTCACCGTCTCTGTTGCTCTGTCTAGTGAGTGTATGTACACTATGGCGAAAACCTTTAAATAAAAATAAATAAATAAAAAAAAATAAAAAAAACACAAAAGCCTAATGGTTGGGCAATACAGCAGCTTGGACATCTTGCCTCAGAAATGTTCCTGAACGCAGCGGTCACAGGAGCAGGCTGTCACTGCCACGTACTTATGTGAGAAGGGGATCTTGGGGAACTAGGAACATGGGGACAAGATGAAAATAGTACACTGCGCTTGATGCTCACTTCAGTCCAGGTGAACTCTTGGCAATCAACAAGCCACATCCGAGTCTGGAGTCAAGTCTGGCGTCAGCACGGCTTTCCAAAGCAAAACAGAGTTTGAGCCGGCTCCTGGTCTTTCGGCTGGGCTCCTGGATACCCCGGGTCCCAGGCAACCCCTCTGCTGCAGGAGAACTTTCCAGGGGAAGTTGGAAAACACAGACAAAGGGATTCTGATGGTACATCAGGGAAAAGGTGTATTTTGATTTGACTTTGACACTTCTACAAATCTATAGTTTCTTACCCCAAAAAACAGGAAAGAAGAAACTGAATGATAAACAGAACATTCTTCCATTGGTTGAATTCAGTAGCCTATTATTAGAAAGAAGAAGAAGAAAACAATGATTAGGTCAATGCTATTGCAGTTTAAATGTAAGGGTTTTAGCAAACTGTGCACTGTGGTATAGGAACCACGCCCCCACGTGGAAAATACAGTGTTGGAATTTGAAATATCCTAAGTAACAGTTGTGTGACGTTGGGCAAATTACTTCTCCTCCCAGGTTCACTTTACAAAATGGGAATTTTAAATAACACACACACACACACACACACACCTTTCATAACAGGATGATGTGAGATTCTTTTTTTTTTTTTTTTTTTGGAGAGATTTTCGCTATAGGGCGCATGCGCTCGCCAGACAGACAGAGAGAGACAGAGAGACAGAAAGCAAGAAATCACCCCCCAGAGGGGATGGTCACGCCACAATCCCTTCTCCTCCATTCTCCTCTCAGGATCTTGGGCACGCACGCACGCACATGTGCCCGGCGTGAGTTTTAAGCCACCAGGTCTGGGACGCGAACCGCAGTCGACTATGAGGGAGTCCAGTGACATAGCCATTACGCTAACTGCTGTTCCCAGGTGGATGTGAGATTTAATAAAGTTGTTTAGAACTCTCTGTCACAAGTACAACATGAAAGCTGTTACTGTTTTGGTTTACTAATCAGAACTCCGAAAATCAAGGTTAGGTTTACTTTTCATTTAAAACTCTTAGGAGAAAATGTATCGCCAAATTAATAACGTTGGCAACAAAAGTTTACCTTCATAAATGGTTTGAAGAACTTGCACAGAGGGCGGGTGGTAAGACAGAAGCAAAATGCAGCACTCGGCAAGCCGGACCCGCACGGGCAGGCTCCAGGTGTGCTCCCAGAGATGCAAGTGCCCGTGACCCTGGGCTGGCCGAGGAGGGCGGCGATCACAGTGTCAAAGACCCTGTCAGAGACGCTGTCTCTGTTTCTCTATCTCCCTTTGTCTCTCCCTCTAACTCATGACATAAATAAACTTAAAAGCAAAAGGACTGGTACATGCTTAGGAAGTATCGTAAACAAACTATTGCTACTTACAACGCAGTCAGGTAATTGGGGTGGAAGAGGTGGTAGACAGAGAAGTTTAAGATTCAGTTTCTGCTCTTCAGGAGCTTAATGCCTAGCTGAGGAAATAAAATTAACCCTCCTGAAGTGACAGGTAAGAATAAAAAGATGTATTTTATTCACGATTTGTCCTTAGCCTGCAACCAAAAGTGATTTTAAGGTCACTCAAGGCTGTACATTAGTGTGTGCTCAATGTGATAATTAAATATAAATTCTACTCACTCTCCATGAAGCAATACTTTGTTAGCCAAGTTTTAGTAACTCTCTGTATTTGAAAGTATTTCATTTTTAAATTATAATTCAAATTTTTAAACCATTAAAACAGAATTCCCTTCCCCACTCACCTCACTGTATTGTTCATAACTGCATCATCGGTGATACTTTGGCCACTTCTCTTTTACAAAAAAATACACACTAGGGGCCAGCAGGTGATATAGAGGTTAAGATGCTGGATCCACATGGCTGGCTGTGAGGTTCGAGTCCTGGACCCAGCCACTTGAAAATCACACCGGGTACATGTGCGTGCATGCTCAAAATCCCAAGAAGGTATTGGAGGAGAAGGGACTGTGGCGTGGACGATCGGAAAGGTGACTTCTTACTTTCTCTCACTCTCTCTCTTCTGTCTCTCTCTGGCATGTGCACCTGCCCTGTAGCAAACAAAGCAAAGCAATGGGACAGCCAGGGCATGGTAATCAAGGCTGGTTAAGGGAACTGGATGCTACCTGGCCAACCCCAGTTTGAATCCCAGTGCTCACAGCTTGAAAATCACGTGTCATACATGTGGGTTCATGCCCCAAACCTGGACAGGATGGAGAAAAGGAGGAGTTGAGACGTCACTATACCCCACTGGGAAGTGCTTTCTCTCTCACACACTTTCTCTCTCTCTCTCTCTCTCTCTGGAGAGCATACATGACCCTGGCAATTAAAAAAATTTTTTTAAATACTTATTTGTGGGAGCCAGTGGGTGGTGTAGTACTTGAGACACTGGACTCCCACATGGCCGACCATGGTTTGAGTCCCGGAACTGGCAGCTTGAAACTCATGTCAGGCGCATGTGCCTGCATGTCCAAAATCCCAGGAGGAGAATAGAGGAGAAGAGATTGCAGTGTGGCCATCCCCCATGAGGGGTGACTTCTCGCTTTCTCTCTCACCATCTCTCTCTGTCTCTCTAGCAAGTGCAGGTGCTCTATAGCAAAAAAATCTCTTAATAAAATAAAATTTTAAAAAAGATACTGACTTGCAAAGAAAAACATAATAAATACAAGGAGTCTTCAACAGCATGTGGAAAATATGTATTATGAAACACTAGGCATGGATTTCAAAATTTTTCACACTGAAATGAACTCATACTTTAATTCCATTTTTCCGCCAACTTTTTGAAGTCCCCTTGGATAAATCTACCTCCCTGCCAAGCTCAAAGCCAATCGAGGGAGCAGAGAACATCCAAGAGAATTAAAACCAGTAAGTTTATGCTAAGACAGTCCAAGACCAAAACAAAATAAATGATAAAAATTACAGAAAAAAACCTCAATGTCTGAAATTGAAATAAAATCAGGAATAAGTAAGAAAAAACCTAAAATTTCAAACCAAGGGCAGAAAATTATTCATTTACTCAAAGAGCTAACACTGTTTATGCAAAAAGTAAATTCAAAACTGTATTCTCCTGATACCACTGAAACCATTAAAGTCCACTTAGTCATTTTTATAAAAATAGTTTGATTCCTGGCCCAGTTATCATGGCCCACAGGTAGTGGAAGCCATGTGGGAGGCACAGGTCCTGTTCCCCAGCCAGCCCGAACACACTAGGGTGTCTGTAATCCCAGCCAACTGGGAGTCTGGGGCGGGAGGAGCGCAGCAAGGTGAGTCGCTGCCAGGGTTCCAAGCTTGGCTTCTCTCGCTTTCTCTCACTCTCCCCTCCTCTCTTTCTCTCCTTCTCCTTTAAATAAAAAAGAAGGGGGCCAGCAGGTGACATGGTGATGGGAGTGCTGGATCCCACATGGCCAACAGCATGTGTCTCAGACAGAGCAGCTTAAAAAACACACTGAGCGTGTGTACAGACATGCCCACAATCTCAAGAGGAGAATAAAGAAAGGACTGCAAAATGGCCAACCCCCTGGGGGACGGCTTCTCACATTCCCCCTCTTTCTGTCTCTGTCTCCCTCTGAAGCACACATGTGCCCTATGGCAAAAAAGAAAGAAAGAAAGAAAGAAAGAAAGAAAGAAAGAAAGAAAGAAAGAAAGAAAGAAAGAAAGAAAGAAAGAAAGAAAGAAAGAGGAAGGAAGGAAGGAAGGAAGGAAGGAAGGAAGGAAGGAAGGAAGAGAGAAGAGAGAAAAAAGAGAGAGAGAGAGAGAGAGAGAGAGAGAGAGAAAGAAAGAAAGAAAGAAAGAAAGAAAGAGGGTTAGATTCGTCACCAATTTAAATTATTATAGATTTTAGTTTTATTTCATTTTTTTAATAATGATGAAGCTATACTAATGGTATTTTTAAAAAACAATGTAAGTGTAACATTTTTTAAAAACAGGAAAAAACTGAGACCAGCCAGTGGTGTGGTGGTTAAGGCAGCTGGATCCCACATGGCTGACTTCACGGCTCAAGTAGTGGACCCAGAAGCTTGAAAAACATACTGGCATGTGTGTATTTGTGCCCACAATCCCAAAAGAAGGGAGAGATGGAAGAGGAGGGATTATGGCATGGCCATCCCTCCTGAGGGGTGACTTCTCATTTTCCCTCTCTGACTATCCAGCAAATGCACATACCGTGTAGCAAACTAAAACAAAGGAGGAAATAATGAAAGATAAAATAATAATTAAGTATTCTTTCTGGTAGACTAATTTATTAAAGTATGTCAGAGTATCAATGTCTTTTTGTTTTGCACTTTGAGTTGCTTTTGTTTTGTTTTGTTTTGAGAGGTTTTCGCTATAGGGCACGTGCGCTCACCAGACAGACAGAGACATAGAGACAGAAAGTGAGAAATCACCCCCCAGAGGGGATGGCCACATTGCAATCCCTTCTCCTCCATTCTCCTCTCGGGATCTTGGGCACGCACGCACACGTGCCTGGTGTGAGTTTTAAGCCACCGGGTCCAGGACGCGAATCACGGTCGACTACGTGGGAGTCCAGCGACATAGCCATTACACTAACTGCTGGTTCCCTTGTTTTGTTTTGTTTTTTTAAAGAGAGAATTCTTGCTATAGGGTGCGTGCACTCACCAGAGAGACAGAAAGCGAGAAATCGCCCCCCAAGGGGGATGGCCACACCACAATCCTCTCCTCCATTCTCCTCTCGGGATTTTGGGTACACACGCTCATGTGCCCAGCATGAGTTTTAAGCCACCGGGTCCAGGACTCAAACTATGATCAGCTACACGGGAGCCCAGTGACATAACCATTATGCAATCTGCTGGCCACTGCGCTTTGGGTTTTCAATCAGAAAAGCCCTATTCATCAACCGCAATACACCAGATGTACTTTGAACGTATTGGATTTTAATGACTACAAAGATCCACCCACTGCATATTTCCTAAGGACCTACTTTGTTCAGAAGAAGAGCTGTCATCTCTGACTCTGTTAATCAAACAGAAAACTAAGGTACTGATAGCAGACCTATGGACTGTGTGGGTCTGGTTCAGGGCTGAATTCCCAGGGCAGTGAGTCACACGCAAACTCTACCACACTCTGACTCAACAGATCCCTGCTGCCATTAGGAGAGGAGTTAATGTTTCACTCTAATTCATCCATCAGCTCTGGGTGCTGTCCATCCACACTTGGCAATAAAATGCAACTTCTTTTTTTACTTTTTTTTTTTTTTGCAGAGTTTTTTGCTAGAGGGTGCATGTGCTCACCAGAAAGACAGAGAGAGACAGAGGGACAGAAAGCAAGAAATCGCCCCCCACGGGGGATGGTCACGCCGCAATTCCTTCTCCTCCATTTTCCTTCGGGATGTTG